AAGAAAATTATTCAGAAAATACAGAGAGAGCCATGAGTTAGGGCTCATCCTTTAAATCATGTTTTTTTCTTAAATTTCGATTTTCCCGTCTTATAGGGTCTTTTTCTACGAAAAAAACTTTGGTTTTAAAGAGAAATGTCTTACTAGTCGCAAGGATTAAACGAACTATCTCGTAAATAACAGGTTATTGAGCCAAGTCATTTTCGTCCTGGAAAGAAATGCTTAGTCGAGATCTCTTCCAGTCATACTAGGAGTGAAAGTAAATAAGCATCTAAGTTTACGAGCTGATCCCTTTTTTCTAGCGATACACCCTCATAAACCCAAAGGTTTTCAGACTCTGATGTTTAATCTCATTTCAGAGAAAACAGAGATCTATCGATGGTTATCTACAAAGGAGCATATTATGCAGTTCTTTCAAAAGATAGATTATCTGACCAAAAACAAATCAATTTTCTCATAGATCGTGACCGTGCTGATAACTTAAATGATCAGTTTGAAATTCAATGTATACCATCATTGATTATATTAAAACCAAATGATTGTCGAATACTAACATCCAAATGTGAAGAAGAACTTCGCTCATCACAATCAGTTGAAAAGTGGTCACAAGGTAAACTGTATTTTGGAGTCGAGACCCACGAGAAGAATAAGCTGAATACTTATTATTACCCATTATTTTCACCAGTGAGACGTCGCCGTTAATTCTCTCGACATTCTGAACTATTCCTACTTATATTTCTAAGAACGATAATAAACATTTTGTTGTTAAAGTAAGAGCAAAATCTTTCTTCTAGTTTGTTTTATATCATTGGATAGGACGCGATGAGCTGGTTTTAGTATGCTCAAACTATTTTTTTCTAATTCAGCGTCAAAAACTGAATTAAAAGATGATATTCGATCAGTTTCGAAATTAAGAGCCTGCTCAGTATGGACATCCGAAAGTAACCGTCGAGGATAGATGCGGGTTATTTTATAAACATAACTAGCTTTTTGTCTCAATAGCTGGAGCTCTCATTTGAACATTATTAAGTTTGCTTTGAATTCCGCTTTAAAAGTGTAAATCACCTTTTTTAAAATTTTAGAAACGAAAAATCGATTGTTTATTTTTCGTTGTTTTATGCTGAAACTGGATTCCCTTATGGTTTCCTCCTCTACCAAAATATATTTCAGATGCATTTTTGTCATTATTTATTCAAGACATCGTGTTGTTTTTCTTTGGTAAGAGTTGTTGCTAAAAACAATCAATAACTAAATACATGAATTATTTTTTGAGAGGATTCCTGATTCATTCTGAAAATCGTGAAGGCTTCGGAAAGGTCTCATTTTGTAGAAAATTCATTCGCTCATTTTAGACAACTTTAGAAACAAAAAACTATTTTCCAAAGGTTTTCTTGGAAACCGATTTTCCAAAAACCCTTTGAGAGACTAAAATTTGAAAAGTATTTCCACTGGATTCTCTGATGTTTTTTAGCTATGAAACCATTTTTCCATTGAATTTGGGTAAAAAGATTGAGTCTAATTGTGTACATTTGAGTCACAAAAAAGACAAAGTACCTGTCTTGCACAATTTTGACAAGAGTCAGCACTCGACAAAATGAGCTGCCTCTCTCGCAAACCTATCTCCTTCCTGGTTTTGGAATTTTTCTCCGATCGTCATACACCATTCAACTCAGCATTTAAAGGCAAACAAAAATATGTATCGCTTTTTTCAAAAATTTGTTTCATTCTTGAGAAAGCACATTCTTTCTGAATCAGGGGCAAAAAAATCGGAATTCTGCCCGTAATTCTCAGTTTTCTCCATCAGAAGTCATTTTTTATGCAATAAAAATATCATATTCGGAGTTTGCATCGAAGACCGAGTCGAATGTTATATGTTTCGAAATTTTTTGTTGATTTTCATTTTTTGGTGAAAATCTTAGTGATTCTGCGACATGAAAATTCAAAAAAAAACAAAGGTGGTCGGATAGGATAAAAACAGTATATCATTCGACTCGGTTTTCGACGCAGACTCCGAATATGATATTTTTATTGCATAAAAAATGACTTCTGATGGAGAAAATAGAGAATTACGGGCAGAATTCCGTTTTTTTTCGCTCCTGATTTAGAAAGAATGAACTTTCTCAGGAATGTATGTTCTGAAATTCAGGCAGATGAATATTATGCAATTCTCACTAACGTAGAATGCTAAGAATTCCAAACTTTCACTGCTACGGTACCATTATACTGTATAATGATAATATGACAGTTCTGGTTACTTTAATCTCATAAATTTTTGTATCCGATTATTATGTAAATCAGCCACATATAAATTCATTTCTGAATCAAATACAAGCCCATTTAGATTATTTAATTGATCGTTATCACTTCCTGCTCTACCACTGATACCAGCTATCGTTATTCCATTACCATTTGACCCATGACAGACCATTTGTATTCGACGATTTAATTGATCAGCAACATAAACATTACCATAATCATCAACAATAACGCCACCAGGATAATCTAATTGATTTGATGTTAATCCTGCTGTACCAGGTGTGCCAATAATCAGTGTGCTACTTGAATCATCTAACTTCCATTTTACAACTGTATGTCTAAAATTAGTATTTGATTTATACATTGTATGCGATCGAGAATCATAATACACACCGTATGGATCACTTAACTGGTTCTTTCTATTACCCTGACCATTTCCACCAGCTACAACTCGACCACTATCACCGATATTTGATTTAACCAAATATTGCATAATGCGCTGATTACCAATATCTGCTGCATATATATAATGATGTTCAGAATCTAACCAAATCAATCCTAGTGTTTTGATTTGATTTAATGCACTACCGCGTACATCTGATCCTACTAGTGTTGTTCCATTCAATGATCTCTTTGTCCATAATTGGACCGATTATTACGACTGTCCGACAAAATCCAACCCTTCACTTCCGCGTAGTGTCGGATGGGCAATGTCAATTTGACGGCTAAGATGGGCTCTGGTACAGCGCTTCAGGACTAGTCATCCGAAGCGTGGTTTTGCACTGACTCTGAAAACAACAATTGAAGAACCCATTCCGGGCAAACACATGTTGTCGCCAGCAAACCTCGATTGTTCACAGCCGACCGATGATGATGATTACGACTATCAGATATGTACAAATTTTGATCCTTATCAACATAAACATTATTTGAGTTGTATAATTTATCTGATGTTGAACCAGGTGCACCGTTCATACCGCCAGCAATTGTTACACCACTACTTGCATTTTTAAACCATTTTTGAGTACGATTATTGTAAGAACGTGCTATCTAAAGAGTTCCAATCGAGTCAATAAATAACATTAGGAAAATTTAACTGATTCGGCCCAATACCCGATTTTCCATTCTCTGCAACAGTCATGCCTGCTGTATTCCATCGGAAACTGCCTGAAGGATGAAAATGAACCTCTTAGATCATCTGAAAGATGAAATTAGGTATAAAGTGAAAGCACAGGCGACGGAATCACGCGAAGCGCGAGGATCTTCAATAAAACTTTTGAAAATGAGAAATCCTTGTAGATGAAAAACTCTGTAGTCTCCAACCATTTGGGTTCAGAATCGCTTCATGTATCAATTAAATTAAATCCGCTACGTTCTCTGTCTCCCGTTTCCATTCCTATAAAAAGCAATGGGTACCTTTATATAGAACAAGCAGTAAGGTTTCTCACGGTTTCCGTTTAAGTAAGCGTTAATGTATGGTGAGTTTCGCATAGCAAGAGTTTCCGTAGAGTCAAATGATACTGTTGAAAACTTTCAAGTATACATTGAGTTTTCATTCACAAAACAGCAGTTAAGAGACCAGAGTTCCTACAGTTATAATTTCTATTTTTTCTGCAATAAGTATTCACGAAAACGATAGCTCCAGCTATATTATTAGAGTATACTTTTGAAATATGGCTACAACACCTTATGAACTTTAGCGTGACACGACCCTTCCGCGAACCGACTCGTCGCGACTTTCAGATTCCATAGAGAATACTCGGTCAAGGGAAGTTTTTGAGTTCATTTTAGGTATCTCTGATGTCCACTTACCAAGGAGTGGATGTGAAGAAAACAATGAAATGTCGTGTTTCTTCTAAAGAATTGCAGACGTGTCATTAATTGTTGTATATGAGCTGATTGCGCTGGTATTGTACGGTTTGACTAAAAAAAGTCAACAAAATAAACTTGCTTGGAAATTTTTTTCTTTAGTCGGACTATATACTAGTATCATCAGGGATCACGAAATAAA